TTTCTGTTGCAATTACCTGTGCCCATTGCCTGGCAAGCCTAAGGTTTTCATTAAGAAACAGCCATTGTTACAAGAGCCCTTGTCCACCACCTGCCACCCAGACATGCCCACCAAGAAAGAGACCTTGAAGTGGGGTTCTGCCTCGACAGCACCTGTGATTCTGGAGCCTGATAAAGAATAGGCGCTCATGGTCAGCCACAAGCTCCCCGCTGTCCTCAGGGGAGCAGCCAGTCCACCGGGACACAGCATGTGCAATGCTCCCAGACAGGCCTCAAGCCTTCTCCTGACCTTTCCTGGGACACAGTGTGAAGAGAGACATCCTTTCTAAGGAAATGACTGTATGGCTGGCACATACTTGCTTCAGTGTTCTAGGCTCACTGCTTGGCAGACGCCTTCAACCTGCGCAGACTCCCCTAAGCTGTGTGCTCTGCCTGTCTTCCTCCTCTCTGCACTCTTCATATATTTTCACTCTCCTTTGCCCACAGATCACAGAACTTTCTTTTTTCCCTACTCTTTTTGCCAGGTGATTCCATTCCAATGTGCCCTCAACACAGATGTGCATGCATGCGTATACACACACACACACACACACACACCATCTCTCCCTTTCTCACTCTTTAACTAAGAAATCCTGATGCAGATGCCAGGAATGTGCCTGCCGCCCTTCTGACAGAGGCTCTGATGCCATCTTCAGGGCCACGGGGAGGGCAAAGCCGGACGTGGGTCGTGCACTCCACTGCTGGCCCAGCTCGTATGTTTACCGTGGCACGGCTTTGGACTCCAGGCAGGGAGTGGGTCTGGCTGCTTCTCATTCCTGTACTCTACATCAGGGCTCCATAATAACCTCACCCCTTGCCTTGGCTGGATCTTTCTGCCCCAAACCGTCCACCATCAATGGAGCACAGTACTAACCCTCTTCCTCCTGCCAACCTAGTCTAGCTCTGAGTGTCTGTCCAAGTCCCTAAACCTGGTTCTGATGCACCGTTTTTGGACATAAACAGAGACTGAACAAGCTCAATGCGCTCCTTGGCTTAAACTGCTGCCCCGACTCCCCTTCCCCTCCCTTTGTCTCTGACTCCAAATAAGGAGTGCTCCTAGTTACATAATTGGATGTTCCAGCACAGAAGCTGACATAGGAGGTCAAGCACGCATGCGTGCAAGACTTCCCTTTGACTTAACAATGCCTTTTTTGGGCATCTAACTCTTCTCTTCAGCTCCCTTCCCCCCACTTTCTCCACACCATCCAACAATCAAGGGAGATTTATAAGCTTGGCTCAGATCAGAACTCTTCCAACCTTGGCTTAGAAGGCGGGGTCATGAGGTTGAATTTACTCTGTGTCCCCCTCTGCCCCCCGGCAGGCCATAGAGAGTGTGCTTATAATTTGGCAGAAGTTCCTGGAGTCTAAGACAGTTGTGTGTACAAGTCTTTTAAGGGAGCAAGAAGAGTAACAATGAGGCTGGAAGCAGAATAAACTTGTCTGCTTGGAGACGATAATGCTAGACATTAGAAATTGAGGACATTTAAGGTGGAGATGCATCAAAATCCAGGTGGCTGTCCCCCCAGCATCCCCCCCCACACACACACCCATGACCAGCTAGTGTGTTCTGAACAGCTAGAGAAGGGCAGCAACGCCCTGCCTGCTCTCTAAAGCTCAGATCTATTGTAGGAGAGAGTCCAAAGTCTACAAGAGGACGTGGCTCAGAGACCTGGGCTGCACACAGAGCAGCCACGGCGGACAGGGAGACACCAGGGCCTCACTCCATACCTCTTGTGGGGCCAGGGAGGGTTCAAGGGCGAGGGTCCTGCAGTTCTGAGTTATAGTCAAGTTCCCAGCTTATTTATTTAACAAAGCAATCAAAGCCATAAGGTGTAGTACTGCATGGACTTTTTTTCTTTTATTGCCCAAAGGCACATGTCCTTGCCAGAGAGAGAGAGAGAAGCTGCCAATGAGGCATGGCCACATCACAATCCCTTTTCCTTCATCTCTCCATCCCATCAGGACTCTGGGCACCCACACACCTGGCACGTTTTCCAGGCCTCAGGGCTGGGAGTCAAACCATAGTTGACCATGTGGGATCTAGCTCCCTCTGCACAGCGCTTAACCACTGAACTAAGGAGTCAGCCCTAAACCACTTTTTAAAAATAAAACCTGAAAACTGTCCAGGTCTCTTGCTTCCTATTTTAAGGACACTTCAAGAATGCTCTGAAACCAACACAAGATACTTGAGAAGAGGGCCAAAAGTACAACTAAAAAGATGAGAAAAACAATGTGTTGGGGAAGAGAAGATGCTCTGAACAGAGAAGGGTCAGCCTCTTCACTTCCTTCCACTCTGTGGAAGCTCAGGGTGAGGACAGTGCCGAACAGCTGGAGTCCCATTTTCATCTAGCTAATGTGAAACAAACAGCCTAAGGATAAAGTTTGGATATAAATGTTTGACAGTAAAGGATATGAGATAAAAAGTACAAAATATCATCACCTGGGATTATCTATGATGAGCAAGGACAGAGACCACAATAGCGAGGCTCTCAAAATAGCTGTAAAATTCTCCTCTTGTGCAATGTTCACACTGGCTGCATTCAAATGGACCAGCTACATTTAGAATTTGCCTGCCCTTTGGAATAGCAATGCCTTCCCATCAAACAAACCACAAAACCCCCAAAAGCGAAAAGGAAAGGAAGCCAGGGAAATTCAGCTGCATGCCCTCTGATTTCATTTATGGCGTGAGGGCACATGGGTCTCGTTAGTTTCACTGCCAGGTGGCCTTCTAGCCAGCTGACCGGAAATGTTCTAGTGGACCTGTGAATGGAGAAAGAAAAAGGTGAGCGACTCAGGCCCACTCCAGAGCTCTTCTCACTGGGGCTGTCTACTTGCTTCCAGCACCTCTTCCTACCAGGATCGCCAGCAGCACTTGTCTGCCTGGGGACGCTGCTCAAACACGTGTGGCACCTCTGTTCATCCATGCTGGAAAAGGGCCTGGGCGTTCTGCTTCCTGACGGGAGACACAGGGTGTTATGGATGCTGCTTTAATGAGCCCACTGGCACAAAATCACCTTGGCAGGCCTCATGAAGCCTTCACTGTTTTGAAGCCCAATTCTGTGCAGCTCAGGAAGACGGGTATGCCAGGAACTGGTGACTGACAGGAGGAAACTGCTTTGGGGTGGGGTACCCTAAGAGCATACAAACTGGGACTAATTTTGAGCCCCTAGCTGGAGGCATTAGAAACAGAAAATACCCTGTACTCTCCTTTTCTTTTTTTTTTTTTTGGAGAGATTTTCACTGTAGGGCGCGTG